AGTCAGTTTTTCTTCCATCATCATATATTTGACCTCCTTTACCCTCTTCTACCACCCCCCTCTTCCCTTACCCTCTGGTAACTGTGAGTCTGTTGTCTGTGTCTACAAGGTTTTGTTTGTTTGCTTGTCTTGTTTGTTTGTTGCTTTTAGTTTTATATCCACATATGAGTAGAAAGTATGTTTTACTTGGTTTAGGTAACTTTATCCATAAAACAGAAATACCATAACCTACTTTGCACATCTTTGAAAAATAGAATGAGAAAAAGTACCTCTAATAGAGTAACTGGCACAGAATAGAAGCTAACTAATTAGCAGCCTTTACCACCTAATACACTGAATTGTCTGTGTTTTCCACGAGGCTAGTCTTTCTCAACCTCAACATTGCTGGCATGTTGACTGAGTCAGGTAATTCTTCTTCATCGCAGGGAGCTGTCCTGTGCATTGTAGAATGTTTAGCATATCCACAGTTCTATCAGTTAGATACTAGCAACCCTCTTGTTGCAATAACCAAAAATGTTTTCAAACATTACTAAATGTTCCCTAAGGGGCACAATCACCCTTGGTAGAGAGAGTCACTACACTATACCATAAGCAACTCAAGGGCATATACTATTACTCATTATTATAGCTCCAGATATCTGGTACCAAAGCCAGTACATAGTGGGTATTCAATAAATGCATAGCAGTAAGAACCACCATCTTGCCTCCAAGCACCACAGATTAGTATTACCTATTTTCTAAATGTATGCAAATGTATCTATTATTTTTTATGGCTTTTTCCAGTCAACACTATATTGTAAGATTCATTTATGTTGTAGTATTTCATTCATTTCTACTTCTGTATAATTATTTTTAAAATATACTACACTTTAGGTATTCTATTGTCTGGACATTGGGTTGTTTCCAATCTGTAACTAGTATGACAAGTGTCATGAAAAATATTTTATATGTGTTTTGGTTACAAGTCAGGATAGCAGTTGTGTTGAAGTTGGAGAGAGGAGAGTCTTTGGGAAAAGGTACAATGAAGGTTCTTGGAGTGCTACTAACATTACTTCCTGACCTAAGTGGTGATTACATCTGGGTGTCCATTTTTTGATAATTCATTGAACTCTCCATTTATAATCTGTGGACACAGAATTCTGTGAACTTCATTTAAAGTTCATTCATTTCTTTATTTATTTTGATATTACTAAGAACAAGACAGTTGTACAAACACAGAAAAAAAAGGCCAGGAGTTCCGGTAAATACCCTAAAATATCAGTATTCATGTGAAAAATAAATGCTCATTTTCATTTCTATCAAAGAAAAGCATATTAAAACAAAAATAAATGCATTTTTATACTTTTTGTCAATAACGCCTAATGTTCGTGAGGTACAAGGGAAAATGTCTGCTATTAGTGAAGATGTGAATAGGTATAACTTTCTTCATTTGACAAGTCTTTAAAATATGTAGTATGGCTTATGTCAATTATATCTCAATAAAACTGGAAAAAATGCATTACGTTTAAAAGTTTATCTTACGAAATATAAATCAGACAAATTTATAAAACTACGTGTGAGAGAAAATTCTATATATAAGGATATTCTTCTATATGTAAGAATAAGCATTATATGCTTATAATAGTGAAAAACTAAAAGCAAATTTTCAATAGGTATCTATCTAACTATATTATGGTATGCCCATTCAGAAGAATGCATGAAGCCATATTTCATGACATGAAAAAAATGTTAATAATTCATTAAATTAAAATAGGTTATAAAACAGAAAAATGATACATTTTTAAGGAGAGAAAGACATAAATATTCACAGAAACAAAATGTTGAGAATAGAAGCCAAAATGTTAACTTTTATTATCTTTAAGTAGTGTTTCTTTATTTTTGCTTGTTCCTTTTCTTAAGGTCTATTACTTTCTAATCTTTCCACATGAAATATGTATAACAATTTTCAAAATTAAGCTTTTTTATGTAAATTAGTTTATCAATGAATGAGAAAGAATACCTGAGAGAAATATCACATAACAGTATCAGAGACAAAGGCAGCTCTTAGCATCTACTAGTGTATGTATTTTTTCACAGTATGCTTCAAATGGTTATTAAATTGGTTTTTATAAGCATGTTTCAATTTTATAAGCTCCATGCTGTGTGGACCAAGAAGCTAACTAACCTCGGCCAATATTTCATCAAGCTAGTCTTCCTTTGCAAGAAAGACATTGCTTTATAATTGGAATCTTACTCTAGTGATTAGGAAACAGATGAGCACATTTCACTTAAAGAATTTTTTTAAAGCTATTTTTGCTTGAAGTGTAATTTTCTTCTCTACTGTTGAGCAATAATCTCTTAACAAAAAGTGGATATGGTTTTAGTTTCTCAGTCTGTGACAGCTTTTCCAATAAATCTGTCTCATCCTCTAAATAGAATACAAATAACAATACAATATATACAAAGTATCTATCAATCATTAGTATGAAAGAACCATGGTCATCCAAAGTCATATACTGAGAATTAAGAAATAATTTTCCACTTTCACTTTGCTTCACAGGAGTCTTGTTAATAAGCACCTCCTGCTTATACGAGATAAGTAATGATTTCCTCTCGATGAGTAAAACTGCAACATTGATTACATTTCACTTACAATAAGTACGGCATCTCCAACCCATCTCACATGGAGATTCTTTTTTCAAGCCTGATTTACTATCACTGTTCTCCTCTCTACTTCTGAAAAAAAAAGGATCCTTAGCCAAAATTTGCATGTTCACCCCTGCATGGAAGCATCTCTCTAAGGAAGGCCCTGTTGATACCTTATGAAATATTGTGAGTGACCATCCATACCAGCTTGCCTAAGACAGTCCTGGTTTATAGCCAATGTTCCTACACAGTTATTAATTGCACCCCCTTTCCATCCCCAATGTCCCAGGCTGAGTGACACATTATATGGTCACCTATCATCCATACACAGTATGTATAATGCTAGGCCTTGGAATCAATGCCTGGAGCTGTCTACATCCTTGCTTCATCTTCCTTGTGTGCCGGTAGTCTGGAGTGAAAACCACGCAGAATATTCACAGACTCAAATCGTCCCATGGGTGGTCTAAAGCAATCCGAGTAGGAATCTGTTTCAAGATGGACCCATCCTTCTTTGGAAGTTCAAAAACTCTGAGACAGATTACTAGGTAGCCCAAATCATATACCTTAAGGACAGGGTAGATATTTGCCCCTCTAGCTATTAATCTGAAGGATTCCATGAAGTGGAAGGGGATTCAAATTTCCTCTAAGGCTATATTTATATCTGTGCTAATGGCAAAAGTATTCACCCACTCACCTTAGCTAGACATCTTAGGATCAAATTCGATTCTCTCTCTTCACTCTGTGAGATTACAGAGGGTGCCAAAAAAAATGTATACACATTTTAAGAAAGGAAAACACTGTATTAAAATTGTAATGCTCAATATACACCAATAACAAAAGATGTATACAAGTCACATTTGACTTCTGCAATTACAAGAGGTGCTCAAAGTGGTTACCATCAGCATAATTTTAACACAGCTTACAATTTAATTTTAACACAGTATACATTTTTTTTTGGCACTCTCTGTAGTTACGAGTCCCACTGATTCTATTTTAAGAGTTTCTGGAATTCATTATTCACAATGCTTTCATCAGAACACTATTTCTAATTTGCAATTGTTACAGTAGTATTTTTCTACTTTCTATTCTTCTCCAATTCATCTCCCTCTCTTCTGCTAGAATCATTTTACATAAAGCAATTTCTTTAGTCCACTCCTGCTCAAAACCCCCAGAGAATACACAGATTCCTTTACGTGGTACTCAAGATCTTCATCAATCAGCACCCAAGCCTCCCTTTGCATCTTCAATTCCAACCGCACTTCCCATTAAGCACATACGACTCAATGGTTCTTATCCAGAGATGGTACTGCTCTCCTAGGAAGTGTTTGGAAAAGGTCAGGGACATTTATGCTTGTCACAGTGATTTGAGAGCACTAAGGACAATAAATGTCCAACAATTTAGAACCAGTTGCCTTGCCAAAATGTCAACAGCACCTCAGATGAGACTTGTTCCCTGAACACATTTTTACACATGTGTGGTTCCTTCTTCCTAGACTTTATTTTAACCTCCCTCCAATAGTTCTGCCTCCTTCCAAAATAATATTGTCACTGGATGATGCAATTCAAATTCTCTACTTATCCAAAGACCTCAGCTGTTTTAATAGTCATATATACAGTGTATTGAATTATGATTAAACTTCTTATCCATCTGTCATTTCACTCCAGGTTCCCCTCTATCTCATAAAATTTGAACTCCTTAGAGGAAGGGATATTGTATTGATTTTTTTAAATTCCAATTTCTACTATTTACCTAGTATTCTATGAATGATTTTTGAATGAAAAGATGAAAAATCATACCTGCATTCCTCTGTATGTATGTAAGAATGCCATTCTTAAATAAGCTTTTTTTGTAGGTTAAACTTAGAATTAAAAATATTTTGAAGTGAACTAAATATTTTAGTTACATCTTTTATCAGTAATGGTGCTTTAGAGAACGCTAAAATGCATGAATTAATTTACAGATTAGACTAACTAAGGTATTACAAACTCAGGTAGATGAGGAAAAAGAAGCTAAGACACTGTGGTAAAGTGGAATGTTCCCAGTTAAACAATTATATAAATTCCTTTTTGTTTTTTTATTTTTTGTAAGTGGTGAGCAAGTTTGACTTGCAAAGATCTGCCTAATAAACTTGTGTTTGAGATGCTTGTTGTGAAAAAGTACTTAGATAATTTTAAAATAAATAAATAAAAAGTATGTGAACGTGATATAATTCTATACAAAGATAAATTAAAAGTGTTATCTCACATCACTCAATTTTTTTTAGTTTAAGCTTAGACTATTTTCTCTAGCATATTAAAAATATACCCTTTTTTTTTCCAGCTCCCCCCAAGCTGAATAAACAGTACAATAGGGTAGACAAAAGTCAATTGCTCACTGGCACATCTGTTCATATCTGGGGCTCGGTGTCCATAGTACCCTGATGGGCAGGAGTGCAGGCACTCTCCATACTGGCGCATGCCTTCTCTTCGAAGAAAGAAGAACAACTTCTGTTGACATCGGCTGCACCCATTGTCCTTTGAACAAGACAAGCAACCCTTGCAAATGGGATTTGATACATAACTAGCTGTAAAAGAAAAAAAAAGCATGTTTAAATATGAATATGATCAGACTTTGGTCCATACGACATTCTGAGAAGACAAGTATCTCTTGTTCTTTTATTTTAATCACGTAGAGAAGTTAAACAAAATATCTTCTGCCACCCCCAAGAAAAATTATTAATATACAACGAAACTTAGAAACAAACAAGAAACTCAGAGGCAGAGTTGAGGCCGGAAGCTCAAATTGAATGGGCTGTGAGATGTTAGACCACACAAAGCTAGATTTCATGGCAGAGTCTGAATCCAGACCAAGAAATATGCATGTAAAGAGTTGACACTTGGGGCAGCTGGGTGGCTCAGTCCATTAAATGTGTGCTCTGAAACAAGGTTGCTGGTTCAATTCCCACATGGGCCAGTGAGCTGCACCCCCCGCAACTACTGGGTTGTCAGAAAAGTCATGACGTATTTTTTTTCTATGTTATTCATTGCAAAAAATGCATCATGACTTTTCCAACAACCCAATAGATTGAAGACAATGACTTGAGCTGAGGTGCCGGTGGGTGGCCAGATGGCTCCATTGGTTAGAGCACGTGCTCTTAACCACAAGGTTGTCAGTTCAACTCCTGCATGGGATAGTGGGCTGTGCCCCCGCAACTAGATTGAAAATGGCAACTGGACTTGGAGCTGAACTATGCTCTCCACAACTAGACTGAAGGACAACGACTTGATTTGGAGCTGATGGGTCCTGGGAAAAACGCACTGTTACCCAATAAAAAATTTAAAAAAAAAAAGAGTTGACTCTTGGCTCTCTTTATGTAGGCTGGATTTTTGAGGGATGTTTGTCTATGAAATAAGTACTAGAAGCCCCCACTCCTACGGGCCTGAGAAGAGGATTCCAATCCTGGATTACTAGCATTGAAGAGGTAAGTGAGCACAGGAGAGAGAAAATATAACCCATGAGAAATAAGTACTCCAAATCGGCAAGCCATCCAAGTGTGGAATCCAACTGTAAATTATCAATGTAGTAAGGAGTCCCTGCGTCAAGAGGATAACATAAAAACTTACCCAAATCCAGGAAAACCCACAAATTAAAAAATATGAAACTACCCTAAACTTTTTACAATCCAGAGACCTGGGACTTTCATGGGAAACTACCTTAACATCTAAATGAACAAATCACCTACAGAGGAAAACCTCCATGAGGAAGAATCATCAGTCTCAATGAGAGAGCGATTTCACACCTAAAGAATCAGAAATAACAGAACAATCTGAAAGAGACTTCTATATGACTATCTTTAGACTATTTAAAAGGATAAAATAAGGACTAGCAATCACATGGGAAGAAGCAGTATTACCTCAATAATGTGCAAAAATTAGAAAGAAATGAAAATTATAAAATTAAAAAATTCTATAACTGGAACACACATAGGTTCAAAGAACTGAAGCAAAAAAAAGATAAAGATGTAAAGGTTAAAAAAGGTAAGACCAGGTAAGAAAAAAAATGAAAAAGTTGCAGTACATGATTATTAGGTGTTACAGAAGCAAATAATGAGAAGGAGTAAGATATATTCAAAGTGATCATGGCTAATTAGTTCCCAGAATTAAAGAAAGACATGCGTTCTTAAATGCAAAATTCAGAGACCTGAGTAGATCAGTAAAAACAAGTCTGCATCTGAACACAGTATATTTATGCTCAAGAAAGAAGTCAAACTAAAGAGAAATGGCAGATTATCTGGAAAAAAATAAAAAGTTGACTTCTAGCAGACTTCTCATCAGACACATTAAGTGTTAGTGGAATATTATCTTCAACACGCTGAGGAAAAATTATCAAACTATGATTCTATAAGCAATTAAATGACAGTTTAAGAATAAGGGCGAAATAAAGATATTTTCAGCCAAAATAAATTCAAACGACTTATTAATCAGAAACACTCACTAAAAGAACTAATAAACTGTATATATTGGGGAAAATAAAATGGAACCCAGAGGAAGTAAAATGTAATAAGCAACAGTGATCAAACCACTTGAGAAATATGTTGGTATAGCTATAAAAGTACCAATTTAAAAAATAATAATGATGAATTCCCAGGGTTTAAAAATAATACATATTTTATATTCAACAGCAATAACAAAGGAAGACTTGAGGGAAGCCAAAATAAAAGCACTTAAAATTTCTTCATTATGAGTAAGGAAGACCAATATAAATTAAATTTTGTTAAGTTAAATGTTAAATTAAACTTGCTAAACCTCTAGAATGCCACTACAAAAAATATATAACTTCTAAACCAGATGGAATATATAACTCCTAAGCCAGCTACAAACAGATGTAATAAATGTATAAAATATGAGTAGGAGGTAGCAATCCAAATGTCCATGAACAGAAGAATAAATTGTGATATATTCATAGAATTTTAATGATAAAAAGGATTAATCTACTGATACAGACACAACCATGAATGATACTCATATACATTTTGTTCAGCAAAAGAAGCCAGACCAAAACAAAACAAACAAAAAACAGAGTATATTCCAATAATTCTATCTATATTGATGTCAAGGGCATGTAAATTTAACCTATGGTGATAGAAATTAGAACACTACATGTCTTGGAGGGTTGAGGGCTGACTGGAAAAGGGCACAATGGAATTTTTGGCAGGTACATTAGTTTCCTAAGACCGTGTTAACAAATTAGCACAACATGGTGGCTTAAACAACAGGAATTTATTCTCTCAGTTCTGTAGACGGGAAGCCTGAAATCAAGGTGTCAGCAGGAACATGCTTCCTCTGAAGGCCCTAGGGAAGAATGCTTTCTTGCCTCTTCTGGTAGCCCCAGGTGTTCTTTGGCTTGTAGCAGCATAACTCCAATCTTTTTTTTTTTTTTATTAAAGTTTATTGGGGTGACAATGGTTAGTAAAGTTACATAGGTTTCAAGCGTACAACTCTGCAATACATCATCTATATATCACATTGTGTGTTCACCACCCAGAGTCAGTTCTCCTTCCATCACCATATATTTGATCCCTTTTACCCTCATCTACCACCTTCCTCCCCCCTTACCCTCTGGTAACCACTAAACTGTTGTCCGTGTCTACCAGTTTTTGTTTCTTTGTCTGTCTTGTTCCTTTGTTGCTTCCAGTTTTATATCCCACATATCAGTGAAATCATACGGTTCCCTACTTTTTCTGTCTGACTTATTTCGCTTAGCATAATAATCTCAAGATCCATCCATATTGTTCCAAATGGCACTATATCATCCTTTCTTATAGCTGAATAGTATTCCATTGTGTATATGTACCACATCTTCTTTATCCAATCATCTATCGAAGGACATTTCGGTTGTTTTCATGTCTTGGCCTCCATAAATAAAGCTGCAATCTTCTGCTTCCATCTTCATATGGCCTTCTTTTCTACATAACTGTGTGTGTCCTTTTCTGTTTCTTATAAAGACGTTCTCATTGAACTTAGGGTCCACTTTAATCCAGTATTATCTCATATGCATCCTTACCTTAACTATATTTGCAAAACCACTATCTTCAAATCAGATCATATTCTGAGGTTCAAATGGACATGAATTTGGGGGTGGGGAGCCACTACTTAATGCACCACAGGAGGTGAGGGAAATGTTTTAATCTGAACTGGATATTGGGTACACAAATGTATGTATTTGGAAGTTCAAACTGTGTATTTAAGCCCTGTGTATTTATTTTTATAAATAATGTGTATAATTTATAAGTAAATTATATCTCAATTTTTCAAAGAAAAAGGTTGGATAGGAAGGCCATACAATAACTTCAGAATAATACAGTCCTTTATAATCACATCTTTTTTTGAAGATTTATAAACTGTATTGGATGGTCACCTTTAAGATATTCTTTACTTGTATGTTTTTTTAAAAAAACAATAGAAATGTCCTATTGGAGGGACAATGGGGGAAATATTGAAATAGCATTTGAAAATTGATATATGAACTTTATGAAGTTCACTACACCTAGTAATAGAAAGGAGTAACTTAAAAGAAACAACATACTATTTCCAGTTCTGGTATAAAATTAACAAATTATACAATCTTAAATCCCAGTATAATTTCTAAAATGTGAAAAATTCATGTAATTTTCAGTTATCACTATACCAAGCAAAGTCATAAATATAACAAGATATATAAGGTCACACTGACTTCATATTATTGTATTAATCCACAAAAGAAAGCAATGAGAGAAGGAATAGAAAACTCATCAATTATTGAAACTTTTGACTTTGAGACTATATCCTGTTTGCCCTACATATAATCTTTATTGCATAAGATTTTTCATTTGCTACCTTACTTTCTTAAATCTGTAATAATGGAGGAAAAAAGTAATCAATTTAGATTTAAAAAAATCACCTCCTTGGCTATAATTCCTAATAAAATTTTGAAACCTTTCCAGCTATCCAATTTGTATAACTGTGATCATACTTTTATGTGCAATATCATAACTTGCTCAATTTTAGTTAAGTTGTGGACATCTTTTCATAGCAATGAACCAGACCAATATCACTCTCATATTTTTTGAAAATACCAGTTTTATCCACTCCCTCTACTTTCCACCACCACCCATTCAATTATCCCCAATATTACTTTTACAAAGACTGCAACCAGTTTTCTGATCTTCCATTCAAGGCCTCATTCTCAGTTTCTTGTCCTCACAACTCCTGTAACCTGGGTTATTGTTGAAAGTTTTCTTCTCCAGCTTTCATGATAATATCCTCTGCTACAGACTTAATTCCAACCCTCACTCTTGTGAGTCCCACTAATCTTCTCATACCTCAAGCCCTTACTACTTTTCGCTTAGACAGTTACAGTACCCATTTCACTCTACATTCTATCATTCAGTCAATTTTCCTGCTTTTATAATCATCGCAGGATTTCTGTTACACCTTACTCTGATGAGATCATTATGACTTAAAGGCATTCCCATATAGCTGACTGAAAATAAGCCTATACTAATTACAATGTCCCCAGCTGCCTTCTGAAGAGGTTTTCTTCTGA